GTTGGTAAAGGTATCTCTTGATATGATAAAGTTGCCACTATACGAATCACATAAAAATTAAAACTATTAATAATGTCATATGTGTGTAGGGAGATACACAATATGTCCGACAAATATAGAAAATCTTTTCTTTTGTTCTTATAATTATGATATTATTATTAATTCAATGATAATTGAATACAATAAATAAAAATATTAAAGATTGCTTTTTTTAAACAATTACAGTATAAATCAGAGCGGATTATAACGCTTAGGGTAATTTTTTTTTTATTATGATTGGCTGAATGAATGAACTAGTTATTTTAAAGAAAAAATTGGACATATTTCAATGAAGAAAACGATAAAAATCATATTACTATTTGTTATCTCTAGGTTATCTAAAAAAAAGTTCTTATACTTCTTTAAATGATATGAGATAAAAAAATAATGTATACATACATACACACATACATATTTTTTTAACTATGTAGAATTACGTAATTAATATCCTTTTGTTTTATCTTACAGTTTTAAAGAAAATATTGGCTTACGGCAAAAATATATATATATAATCTAAAATGTTATCAAATTTATATCTATAAACTGTTTCAATGCGAATGTTACATATATACCATATGGCAGTACACATATATGTATGTATTTCATGCGGTCAGACGCAGTGGTAAACAGTTTCATACTTCAAACACATAACATATAACAAAGTATTTTAAATAAATACTCTAGATGTATTATTCATACAATTAGTGGCTTTATGTGCGTATGATAATTAATTTTATATATTAACTTACAAAAATATTTTAAGAGAAATTTATTGATACCATCTAAAAGAGGTTAATTTAAAAGTCTGTCAAAGATAAGTTATTCAATGTGAATTTACCATTAGAAAAATATAATATGAAGACAAGGAAAACTTTAGCCTTTCTTGGAGCTGGATTACTTTTTGTTTGCTGTTTAATGACATATATAATAGTGGATTTAACAATTTTTCCTCCTGGACAGGATAACAAACTATCTATGCACGATGTAAGTATATACAAATTTTCTTTTTATCGAACTAATTTGTACTATTATTATATATTGTGCAAAATGTAAATTTATATAGGATTTATATATATTTACTCATTTTAGAATCAATGGCTACATTTTGAAAGTAGATTAGCAAAATTAGAAAAAGACTTTAATAAACATCATGAAGCTATGAATGCTCTTCAAGAAGCAGCAAAAATAAAGCGAAACTTAATACCAGTAATAAAACCATTAAATAATCATGAACAATCGGGTCCAATCCAAAATCATATAGAAAAATTATCGAAATGCAATTTTAATATAAATCGAACACCAGAAGTTGATATACAAATGTTAGACTTATATAAAATATTGGATTTTGATAATCCAGATGGTGGAGTTTGGAAACAAGGATGGAATATCAAGTATAATAAAGAACAATGGCATCGTAACAGGAAGTTGAAGGTCTTTGTTATTCCACATTCGCACAATGATCCAGGATGGTTGAATACATTTGAAAAATATTATACTTCTCAAACGAGAAATATATTAAATAATATGGTAACAAAATTAGCAGAAGACAAACGGCGTAAATTTATCTGGGCAGAAGTTTCGTTTTTTAAGTTATGGTGGGATGAACAATCAAAGGTAACTCGTGATTTAGTCAGAAGCTTAATTCATGATGGTCAATTAGAAATAGTATCAGGTGGATGGGTTATGCCAGATGAATCTGTCTCTCACTGGATTGCTCAACTTACTCAACTAACAGAAGGACATCAATGGTTAAAGTATAATTTAGATTATGTATCAAATTCAGGATGGGCAATTGATCCATTTGGACTTTCCCCAACTATGCCATATTTATTAAAAGGAGCTGGATTAAATAATTTGCTGATACAAAGAGTTCATTATTCGGTTAAAAAAAGATTGGCTAAAGAAAAAAATTTAGAATTTCGATGGAGACAATTGTGGGACAATGATGGCTCAACAGAATTGTTTACTCATATGATGCCATTTTATAGTTATGATATACCTCATACATGTGGACCAGATCCAAAAATATGTTGTCAATTTGATTTTTATAGACTTCCTAATTTTGGTTTGACATGTCCATGGAAAGTAAATCCACGAGCCATAACAAAAGCAAATGTAATAGAAAGAGCAATGCTGCTATTAGATCAATACCGTAAAAAGTCTCAGCTTTTTAAAACTAATGTATTATTAGTACCATTGGGAGATGACTTTAGATATACGCATGTTACTGAATGGGATGCTCAGTTCAATAACTATCAATATCTTTTTGATTATTTAAATCAAAATCAACAATTAAATGTTGAAATACAATTTGGAACATTGAGTGATTATTTTGATGCTGTAAGAGATAAACATAATTTAGAAGATTTCCCTACTTTATCTGGAGATTTTTTTACTTATTCTGATAGGGATGATCATTATTGGAGTGGTTATTACACATCAAGGTATATTATCATGTTATAGATAATATCTTAATATTATTAACAGAATATCTTTTTTCTTTATTTAAACGATAATAATATTTTTTTAGACCTTTCCATAAACGATTAGATCGTGTATTATTAGGTTCTTTAAGAGCATCTGAAATCTTGTCTACAATAGCATGGGCTAAAGGCATTTATCATCTAGCTGAAGGAAACATAGCTCTTCGATTGAATAATGCCAGAATGTGGCACTCCTTATTTCAACATCATGATGGTGTTAGTGGAACAGCTAGAGATAATGTAGTTATAGATTATGCTCAAAAAATGATATTAGCCTTAAATAATACTGCACATGTACTCCAACAATCTGTTATGCATTTATTAAAAACTTCTGAAGGATCCACAATTGATCAAGAAGTCCACTACCTTTCATTGGATGAGACTAGGTTCGAAAACAGATACTTATTCCTAGTTAGTATCTTTTGCTGTTTGTAGAGGTTGTAAGGTTCTTATCATACATACTATATAATTTAATTATTATAGTTTTTATAATTATTTAATGAAATCACCGATAATCTAGTTTAATTCAATTCTATGTTTTATTATTAAAGGTCACATCATACTAGTCCTGGTGAAAAACATATACTTATACTGGGAGATGAAAATCCCAAAAGGAAAGTTGTGTTATACAATCCCTATTCAAGACAAAGAAGAAAAATACAAACTTTAATAGTCTCAACACCTTTCGTTAAAGTTACTGATCATACCGGACAATTAGTAAAATCTCAGATATCGCCAGTTTGGGTTGGACCTGGTGCACTATCAGCTGCCAGATATGAATTATCTTTTCTAGTAACTGTACCAGGATTTGGACTTACTACATATATAATACATGCCCTTCGTCAGCAAATATTTCCTCCGTAAGTATAAATTATATGTGAAAAATAATTTTATGAATGAATCATGAAAGAAAGCGATTTAAAATAATTTGTTAATCTATAATTTTACAGAGATGTTTATGTAGCAAATGTCACAGTTTTCAATACTGATATACCAGTTTCAACAGTGCCTGGTTTTTCTCATATGCAAGTACAACCTCTTGCACAAGAATTTTCTATATCTCAAAAAGTTGAGCTATCTGCGTCATTTGGAAAGTCTGGTTTCTTAAAAGCTTTAAAAGTTGACAATGTTACATTCCCTGTTCATTTAGAGTTTGTTAAATATGGCACCAGAGGTTCTGGTAAAGATAGAAGCGGTGCCTATTTATTTCTGCCAGACAAGCAAGATCCAGATTTGATATTTATGGATAATAAGCACATTATTCATTTAGTAACAGGTCCTATTTTATCAAAAGTTTTTGTAGAATTACCATATGTACGTCATACTTGCATACTATACAATTCACCTGGTAGTGATGGTGTCGGATTACATATATTGAATGAAGTTGATATAACAGAAACACAAAATTATGAACTTGCAATGAGATTAAACACTGATATTATGTCTGGAGATCAGTTTTTTACTGATTTAAATGGTCTTGGTGTAAGTGCCTAAAAGGATATATTAAATATTTTTATATTTTTAATAATGAAATATATATATATATATAAATTTAATGATTTCAGATAATTAGACGGCAAAGATTTCCTAAATTACCTACACAAGCAAATTATTATCCAATGGCTGCAAATGCATATATTGAAGATAAGCATAAAAGATTAACTGTTATAACAGCACAACCATTAGGGGTTGCTTCTATGGCATCAGGACAAATAGAGGTAATGTATATTTATTATAAGTCATTAGATTATGTGTGTAAGTAAATTATAAAAAACTTATGAGAGAATCTATTAAAAAATGAAGCATATATTAAAAGATTTCTGTATAAGATACAGAATAGTCATGATTAAAAAATGATTAAAATATATCATGAATGCTAATTTTTGATATTACGCTACAGATTATGCAAGATCGAAGACTGCTTCAAGATGATAACAGAGGATTAGGTCAAGGTGTAACAGACAATTTAGTAACTAACCACTTATTTACGTTAGTATTTGAAAAAAGGAGATTAAACTGTCCTGCATCATCATCCAGTGGTCATCCTGCAGGTCTGTTATCTGTGACTGCACATTTAGCTTCAGAAGAACTATTGTATCCGGTAATAGCAATGCATCCTCATAATACATTGCCATATAATTTGCAAGCACATTTTTCTCCACTGCGTTATGATCTTCCCATAAATTTAAACGTTATTAGTTTAAGAGTATTGTCTGTTCCTGAAGGAGCTGGCAAAGGTATTGGTATGGTTCTACATCGAACAGCATTAGATATTTGTTGGGGGTCAGAGGCTTATTTGCAACAATTTAATATCTCCAATTCGGGAAAAATCGATGTATCATTCCTAAACTATTTAAAAGATATGACAATTAGTAAAGCTCCTCTTACATTTTATGATGTTGGCTCATTTCTTAAATCATCGATTGTTACTTTGTGTCCGAACGAAATATTATCTATTTTATTTCATAAAACACAATATTAAGTTGAAAGCATATTTATTGTAGAAAATGTTTTCACGAGACAGGAATTAAAACCTGTTTACTTAAAATAATATAATCTTTCTTCTCTGACTCCAGCGGGCTAGTGTTGTCCAGTTTGAAACTACAAAAAAAATGATTGAAGAAGTATATCAACAATTTTTTATAAACTTATATGCTTATCATATAAAGTTATCTAATAAGAAAGAAAATTTTAATTATAAGGCTGATATATCTTTGAGCAAAAGTATAGGTAGATATTTATAATTAATAGACATTAAATTAATTAATGAAATATTTGTACAATTATACTTAAAACAAGCTTTTCAAAGTACAATTATTTTGTACTCAGCATTAAAAATAGAGTTTAACTTAATTTAAGAAATAGATTAAATAATTGAATAATTGTTATATTATATAATTTAATAAGCTTAAGTCTACCTCAAGCTTTGTATTGTAAGATATATTTAAAATATTTGTGATTTTAGTTCATATCTTTCCTTTGTATTTTATTTATAGAAGACTTGATAAATAATAAATAAAATAAGTAATATATAGTTAAAATATGAAAAATATCTCATTACCCAAGCGTGTAGAAGAACTGTAATGCTGGTAGATTATTTTTTAATACTGTTAATACTACTTTTTGCATTTTATGTTTTGATGCCATAGATTCAAGAGCTTGCATCATAAAACGACCAAGGCCTTTGCCTCTTGCTGATTCTTCTAATTGTAACTCATAACTTAATACAGAAATATAATATTTTTAATACATTTTTGCCTGTTATATTGTAATAATAATTCATATTTTTATATACTTACCAATATAGCACTTCAACTTTATAATCTATGTCAAAACGAAAATGAGAAAATCCTATAAATTTATTACTACAAGATGCTATCAAATACCAAGCTGTTGGTTCTGTTAATTCTTTCTGTTTAGCAATTGCATCCCATCCCCAACTAGACTGTTCATACAAATTTTTCATATTTCTTTCCATAATGTCGAATATCCAAAGCCGACATTCAGATGATGCCTCTTTAGCCTTAACACAAGTTAAATTTACAATATATTCATTTTTTCCTACATACGTATGATACATTTCAATCATTTGAAATGGATCTTTCATAGAATTAGCTTTATTTATAATACATTTAGCACGTGCTAGTTTTTGTACTTTTGAACGTCGTTTCATATTTGCTGTTGGCCTATTCTACAATAATAAAATATGTTAGTTGAGTAATTTTTATGTTAAATAACAAATATATGTAATAAAAAAATAATGTTTAATTTATGATAAAAATATTTAATAAGACTAAACATTTTAAAAAATTTCTTTTTTTCTAATAGCTATTATATATTATAAATTTTACAAATAACTATATATAAAGTTATATTATATACATATTATGATGTATAAATAAAGATTGAATAAATTAATTGATATAATTGTAAACTTCTTAATTTGTTTTTATATAGCAGACAAAATAACACTACTGTACGATGTAAGAAGAAAAATTATCCTATAAGATAAAAACGTATATAGTTTGATTGAAACTGCAAGAAAATTAAAATTTTATATTTCGAAATTTCAAATATTTTTTTGCACTAATGATTGTATCATTATAGCAATAAAATTAAACATTGCAATTTGACTTATCTTTCAGTAAAAAACATAATATATGTAGGTATTTCCAATTATATCAATAGTATTAATCATTACTAACCTCTTGAAAATGTAACGTCTTCGAAGTTTTGTGATATCAATAATGTCGAAGTGAACATATTGTAATTGATACTGGCAGTTTCGTTCATTTAGTTATTTTATAATATAAAAAGAAACAAAAAGGTTTGTGTAATAAAAATTTACACGTTTTACGATAAGATATATTATTATCAGTATTAATTAAACAGTTAAAGAGAAGTAGTTACGTGAGATTTCATTATCATTGCCAAAGTATGATATATAAGTTTTAATCCACTTGTTAAAATTAATTGCAAGTAATTTATAAATATTATATTATTTTATAAGAAATATTTGCAGATTTCACATTTTTTTCTATTACTTCAAAAGAGAGATATGTGTTTTGTTATAGGTTAAGAAAATTTATGTTTATTTTATCAACATAATGATATAATGCAGTTGAAGATAGACCTATTTTTATTACTAATACCGATTACTATGCGAATATCTCTTTAAATTGTTTCAGGCATTCTTAATTAAATAATAAACAATGGCAGAAAATGCTGCTAGTTCAAATTCAGAGGAAAATGCTATTTCCTCAGCTATGACTCGATGTTACGAAAACTATATTATTGTTGATGTTGGTGCCAATCTTACAAATAAGAAATACAGTCGAGATTTAGATAGCGTAATACAAAGAGCTAAAGATGCAGGAGTCCAGAAGATCATGGTTACAGGTGCAAGCATTCGTTCTAGTAAAGAGGCTTTAAGACTGACAAGAATATATCCTGGTACTCTTTACTCAACTGCTGGTGTACATCCACATGATGCAAAATCATGGGAAAATCCAGATACTTTACAAGAACTTGAAAGCATAGCTACAAATCCAGAATGCGTTGCGATTGGAGAATGTGGTTTAGATTATAATCGTGATTTTTCTGATCCTGAGACACAACGTACTGTCTTTCATAAACAAGTAGAGCTGGCATGTCAATTAAATAAACCACTTATAATACACGAAAGAGCAGCACAGGCCGATGTATTGGAAGTTCTTAGTCATTATAAAAATCGCTTACCACCAGTTTTAATTCATTCTTTTATTGGAACAGCAGAGGAAGCACAAATTTATTTAGATCAAGGATTTTATTTAGGAATAACAGGCTACTTATGTAAAGATAAGTCAGATAGTGGTATAAGACAATTGTTAGAAGCAGGTCAGGCACCATTAGATAAAATATTAGTTGAAACTGATGCTCCATTTATGTATCCTAATACCAGAGCTAGTAAATTACCTGTACGCGTTAAGGATGCTTTAACTGAACGATCCATGACTTTTCTTCATCGTTATTGCACTTTTCAACGCAATGAGCCATGTGCCTTGCCAGCTATAGTCGAAATGGTTGCAGCTTTTATGCAAACAACTCCAGAAGAAGTTGCTTTAGCTACTGCTTTCAATGCTTTAAAGTTATTTGGTCTAAATGCGTGATTTAAAGATGGACAATATTAAATTTGTTTTATATGGTGGTGCTAGTTGGTGCTTCACAAGATTTAGATATTGGTGCTATTATGTGGTATATCTATTTTTACTTTAATAATCTGGTATCTATAAATTTACTCAATATTTACATCAGATAAAATATTTCGTTGTGATAGTTATACAAAAAAAATGAGATATTAAAAAAGTAAAAAACAATTGCAGCACCAATATTTATGCTTAATTTGTTATTATATCCTTTATATACAATCTTTTCTTTTTATTATGCAAAATAAAAATAGTCTTCAGAAATACTTGAATAAATGAAAAAATAGTTTTTACTAGAACAATGTTATGGATTGTTAAATTGTTACTTTCATACTTTTAATTATATGTAAATAAAAGTAAAATCGTGGAGCATATATACTCCAATGAAATTATATATATATAGTAATGGTTCAATCTTAAGAATATATATTTTCAAGAACAGAAAAAAGTAAATTTTGTATTATTACTTTTCATTAAAATGTTTTATCTTATACAACATACGATTAAATTTATTATTTTATTTTAATTTTATCCAATGTATATACAAAAATTTTGCCAAGTTCATATTTATACGTTAAACAATATATCAATATATAGGCTTTATCTTAAATATTATTAGCAATAACTTTATATATCATATATTTAATGCTAATTACCAAACTTCCTTCATTTGTATCAATAAAACTAACTTTTTGTTTCAATACTAACACAATACAATGCAGCCATGTTTACAAATAAGATCTTAATTATAAAATTCATTTAGAGTTAAAAAAATAGCTTTTATATTAATTGTAATAAGTATTTAATTCATAGTTATCCGTTTTTTTCTGTTATGTAATCCACTATGATTATGTGAAATATTGTCAGGGAAAATCATGAATTGTGCATGTAATGTGAGATATGAATCATATTTTTAATTAAAACATTTTTAATTTGCTTTTGAAATCATTGTTATTATTACGTTGATGACATAATTTCAGGACATTTATTTTTTATGTTTTGCATAATATATGTAATTTTTTCATGTGGTAGTAGATTCGACCAAACTTTTACATTTATTGGAATACAGCTATGTCCAGTACATTTTTCTATAGATTTTACTTGTACGTTCCAAACACCCAACAATTGTTGAGTATTAATTGAATATGCAATAGAAGGAAATTCAATTATAAGTATACTGCAAAAGTAAATATTTTTCTATAGATACTTATAAAAAAAACTCTTGACAAAACAAAGAAAAAAAGAAAAAAGGGATGCATATTTTATTAAAAATAGAAAATATTAATAAAAAATACTTACATAACACAATTTTCTTCTGTACACTCCAATTCTTCAACAAGGTAAGTATACTTTGCAAGAATATTAGAATTACTCGTATTAAATGCAATGGGAAATCCGCCTTGTCGCATAATTATAGCATAATCTAAAATAATATAAACATTATTATTTAATTAGTTAATTTCTTCTTTTATTTATTTAATTTTGATTTAATTATTTTTTGATTAATTTAGGAAAACAAATATAATACTTACTAATTGTATGTCCTAGTTTTGTTTTCAAATTGCTTAAAACATATTGAGAACCTCCCATTGCTTTTTCTAGAGTTATTTTTAACTCATTATTAGATTTTTGACCTGATACATTATATATTTTATGAAGTACACTTTTACCAGGCCAAGGACCCATATAATCTGGATATAATGCTTTTACAGTTTGATACAAAATCAACAATCTTCTAATATTCAGATCACTAAACGAAGTTAACACTTTTGTATCTATCGTACTAAAAATTATTGACAATATTTTTGGATAATATTTATTTAATGCTGTTAAATCAACCGCATATTTAAGTAGTATTTGAATTGTACATTTCTTTAGAAATGTTACATCTAAAAATTTATTCTCTAGGATAATCCAAGGAACTGACTGATATTCAGCATTAGATAATGTATATAAAATTTCTTTAATGTTAGATGGACGCATTTCCTTTACAACATCCTCTTTTAAATGTTCATTTGTCATAAATTCTATGAATGGTAAATAAATATAAGATATACTATTTAAATATTTTGCAATATAAAAACATGTTACAAAATCCATATTTTTACTTATTGCAACATTCAATAATTCATTGATGAAGGTAGTATTATAACTATAAGGTATCATTTCCCTGTATAACAAAATATTAATATAAGTATCATTTAAAATAGTATTTTCTATATTTTATAATATAAATTTCGAAATTTGGTATTTACCCTTCTATTACATTTTTAGATATTTCATTTAAACATTCTAGAATATCTAATGGCGTCAATTGATTTATTTTGTGAAAAAGTGCTTCACGTATTATTTCCATTGTCTTGAAATTTTCATTTACAAATTTTTTTTTACTTGATAATCCGCACAAAGAAATAAATATATATTTAAGAGTAGATACTGGAACATTTCTAGAATTATTCATTACTAATGATTCTATACTATTACAGATTTTTTTAACTAAATCTTTGTTTTCTACATATTTTACATATAATAAGGCTAAAGACAATTCTTTTAAATTTAAATAATCAAGTTTTGTTGTTAAAATATTTGGAATTAGTATAGGTAATGCTATCATTAGTGCAGATGATAATGTAGTTTGTTCCATTTTTCTCAATATAATTAATAATAAATGTATTTGATGTATGTCCAGCTCATTTACAGAATTTCTTATAATTTGCAGAAGACTTTGTATTATCATTGTAGATGCTGGTATATCAAGAAAGCTCAGTAATTTTATTATTTGTATAGCATCGGATACGTTCATAATTCTTATTTGTTCTTGTAATTTATTACATAAAATTTTAAATCCTTTATGATCTTTTAAATTAAATTGTTTTCCATCCTCATTGACTATTCTTGCTAATATCGTCAGTATATCCAATATATCTTTCAAGTCCATATTTGGATACTGATTACTAATATAATCTAAAATATTTGTAGCATTTATTGAAGAAAGTGCACATGACTCTAGTATTATTTTTTTTATTGGCTCCAGTTTTACGGACCTATAAATTTCTAAATATATTGAAAAAGTTTAAAGATTATATGAAAAAAATAAATATATCAAAAAATGATATATATGAGAATGTATTATGGTATTATTAATTACCTTTAGGAGAGTTCCAATAACTCTGCAAAGTATTTTGAGTAATTCTACTTCGTATTGTATAATTTAAAAATAAAGCTCGACTTCGTAAAGTCCATGACATCCATAATATTTGTTTAAAACCCCTATCCATACTATCATACATGGAAAAGAAAATTTTTAATAAATTTTGAAATATTACTGATATCTATTTGTATATAAAATATCAGGAAGATATAGATTTTATACTCGAATAACTACATTACCTGTTTTTTTATCTTCTCTTTAAATTAGTAGATTTAATAAATATACGATATAAACTTCATACATTTATTTTACTATTACTATTATTTATTATAAGCTTTAATTTGTGTGATTAAAAATGAGGTTAGAAAATATAAATAAATGTAATATTCAATTCCTAATATTTAAATATTGTTTCAGATTTATTGTTAATTAAATTTATATATTTCCATATTTATTATGTTGTACGTAAAAAAATTAATTATATTATTTTAGAAATAAAATAAATCAAAATATATCAGAATTTTTTAACTTAACGCGCATGCCGAAGTTTACACCTCAATCTTACAAGTTTGTTATATTGGTATGATTGATATTAAAACTACAAAATTGGCTACAGTGTCTAAAATTTTGTTTATATGTAAAAGAAAGATTTTTTAAAAATTACGCATAAAGGGTAAAAATAGCCGTAACATATTTTTTTAATTATTAAAATTTTTTTTATTTACTTGATATACAAATACATCGTTGTTTTTATCGATAATGAAAATATGTATGATACATTGATGTACCATGAAATTTTTTTTTCTTTTATGTAATTCTCTTAAATAATAACTATTTAAAAGTAGTAACTACATTTTATTTAAAAAACATAATAATAATAATAATAATAATATATATATATATATATATATATATATATATACATATAGTATCAATTCATATGTGGCAATTAATGTTTCCTTTTTAATGTTTTGAAATATCAGTTTCTCGTAAGGTCAAAGATTTATGTCCTTTTTTTATATCTGTATTTTGTCTTTTGGAAGAAGGAAAAGAGAATTTATTTTTATTATTAATCTCAGAGATATTTTTCATCTTTTTATAAAGTTTAGAATTTGCAACGACCCATCCACTAGTAATTATTCTACCTGTAATATGAAAAATTATTTCAAATATACCAAAGTATATAGAGATATAATAACAAGAAAATATAATCTATTACCAAAAAATTCTTTTTTATTTGTATTAAATATAGCTTTGGATGCATCTTGCATTCGTTTAAATTTTATGAACGCATATCCAATAAGTGATGAATTTGATTGGCAAGGAAGAATTATTTCTTGTATTTCTCCATATTTTTCATACAACCGTTTAATGTCCTCTTCTTTTACCTATTAATATAATAATCATATAAAGTCAATATAATTACATTTATATCAAATAAAAAATCATTATATAGATAAAATTATTATGGTTTCATACCCTACATGGAAGATTACGAACAAAAATTCTTGTCGCAGAATTATTTAATTCTGTATCAGCATCTTCATTTTGTGTTATATTTTTAGCCCTTCGTAATTTTGCTTTCTTTCTATAAATCCAAGATAATCCATTTTTATTATTACTCTGTCCTATCAAATATAATAAATACAATATTTATAAATAATTTCAAAGAGATATGTAATGTAAAAAAATAATACTGGTATTGTCAAATTTTCATACGTTGTTTGGTTTTATCCATTTTTACAAATGCTGATTAACGATAAAAAAAAATGATTATTAAAAATGCGCTGATCGTACATTTATTTATAACAAATTCTTATATCTCCCATTAAATCATTAGAATTCAGTTTAATTATCATTTATCATTTTCTTAAACTTCTTAATTAAAAACTATATAGGATATAAAAACTTTATTGTATAGTTAAAATATGTAGTTGATATAGTAGTTAAATATTGTTGTGTAATAGCATTCAGCAAATATTGTATAGTTTTAATATATGACACAATTCAATATCTAAGCAAATTTATATTTATTATTCTTCTCTAACGTTTTGTTATATATTCTTTGAAAATCACTACGAAAATATATTATTATTTTTACTGCTTTACTGTAATATCGGACTACATGAAGTCACATCATAACAGTTTAATGAAGCAAAAGTAGAAAGAAAAGTTAGCTATACAGATAAAAGATGAAATGAATATGGTAAAGTTCACTTGAAGATTAAATCATCTGTTAAATATGATTGGTCGAATTTTGAATTAGAACCAATTATACGCAGGACAAATAATAGAAGCATAGCGTTGAATATACTCATTGGTTGCTGGTAAACTGCATACTTCAAATAAAACGAAGATACAATCGATATCATAGTAAACTTCGATAATATAGAAGTATGGCCGAAAGCGCATTTTCATTTGTGCTAAAGCAAAATAACAAAACAATACGTTAAGACTAATATTATGATTGAGTTAAAAGTATTTTATTGTTTATTCTTGTTATCATTTTTGGATTCAACGTCGCAAATTCGGCCCTCCTTACATGGGCATAATAATGGTAAGCCTATTTCTTTTCTGTTTTGACATCAACAATCTTAGAATTTTATAACTTTTAATACAAACGGTTAATTACACTTTTAACACTAATGTTTTGACATATTACTATTTTGATTGTTATACAGAAATTATCATTCTGTTCCTTTCCGTCTTTTTTTTAAACCCTCATATTTCTACAGATGATCTAAAATATTCAAACAGCCATACTGCATTTTTATTTATATTTAATGTTAGTATGTAAATATCTTGTATATTGATTAATACTAACTTCTTCATAAGTTTTCAATCCTCTTGTATAATACATATATGAAAACAAATATTTTTCTCATATCTTTTTAATAAAATAAAAATAATATAACCTTAGTTTCTCTCTTATAGTATCAATTATTTATATGCAGTATAATAAAATGATCTCATTGAGCTTAAGAAATATATTAAAAGTTATAGAAACAAAAAAAAAGAATAAAAAAAAAAATATGTAGTTTTATTACAAATTTTTTATTTTTTTTTTTTATTTACAAAAAATATCACTAATTTGCATTAAGAATAACTGCATTTTTTACATTTACTGGATTTTGAATTTTAAAAGTTTAATTTAATTATATCATTTTTATTTCGATATATCTTAGTTATTAACTATTGTTCATTATTTTTACAGCCTTCGTTCAGGACGACAATGATGTTCAATATCTTTTGGATAATATACCATTACCTATGCATAAGGTTAATTTCTTAACTAATTCATAATTAATATATAATGTGATATATTATAATATTTATATATTATTTATTAAATTTCATTGTTATATATTATAATATTTTTTAGGACTTTACTAATACAGTACATGGGGTTGGGTAAGCATGACATTGACTAAGATAATGGTAAATGGAAGTAGGAAAGGTATCTAATATATACAATTAATTTTTCTCATTTTATATATATTAAACAAATTAAAAGATAATAAAGTATCATGAATATTATAAATGTGTCAGATTATAGAATACATACGTCGTTAATAAAGAAAAAATTCTCTTAATAACTATATAACTAACTATATCTTTCCTATTTCTGATTGAAATTGTTACTTAAGTATTTTAAATCATCAAATAATATTTTTTTAAGGGATTCTGTACCGGATGAAGATAAAATACAAGATACATTGTCCCACATTTATTTTGAACCCCATATTTTGGATTTTAAAGAGAGGTATTTACTTTTTTTTTCTTCTTTTTATTATTATTATTATTATTATTATTATTATTATTATATTTATCTTATAAATTTCATTTAAAAAAATAATTTATAAAAATAATTGATTATATAAATTTATAGACAACTTGGTATACCCCATCAAGAAACTGTGATGTTAATTAATAAAGACCATAATAGGACAATTCATTTATTATCAATTTCCGGAAATACTCGTCATTTTCACTCATCATTTTTCCAAGATAAAGTAAGTTTAGATCTTTTCTATATTTTCTTTATCTAAAATAATATCTTTTTATCTTATTTAGGTAATACCTCCTCTTGGAAATACCACATTTAATGTAATTTTTCTTGGTAGAGAAGAAGGTGAGATCGATACTCACCTTTTTATACATACATCAGAGGGTACAATAAAGTATCAAGTAATGTATTAATAGTTGTAGATTCTTTTTATTCTTTCTCTCTTTCTCTCTCTCTCTTTTCTTTTTGTTTTTTTAAATATTTCATTCACGTTTAATTTTTTATGTAGGTCAGAGGAATAAGTATTAGTAGTCCATATCGACTAAGACCTGTAATTGATGTCAAGTTACCATTAAATGCATCTTTTACTCCACTTATATATATGCATAATCCACATCCAGAATCATTGCAAGTAAATATTTTGGTATATTTTCTGTTATTATAACAATACGTAATTTAATCGGTTTTTTTTGTTTTGTAAGTTCATAAGAAAAATTACACAGAAGAAATTATTTTCCAAAAATAATTATTTTTTGTGATATGTTTTTGATTACTCCAAATTTAAGGTAGTAGAAATATATAGTAGTGGAGGAGAATTTCAATTGGAATTACCATCAGGGGAAGCAGAGGGTTCTCGTGAATTATGGGAAATACCACCTTATCAAACCAAACCAGTTATAAGACTTCATTTTAATGCTTATACAGAAAAAAATCACACTGCATACATTAGGTTTGTCAATTTGTCAATTTATCAATTTTACCTTTATCAATTTCTTCTAATGTATTATATCGCACTAATAACTATTATAAATATTTTAGAGTTAAAGTAAATAATACTGCTGAGATATTAATTGTAGCAGTTGAAGTAGAAGTTAGGAGTGGAGCTGGTCTTCATTGGGGTGGAAGTTCGGGAAGAATAAATTTTGGTATGGGAGGTTCATTACAACCACCCACATATCACATAATTGCTTTAAAAAATTCAGCTAAAAAACCAGTTAAAGTTGTGGTAAATCTATTTATCTATTTGTATATTGTATATTTTGAATTATATTATATTAACATAAACGTATTTATATTGAATAATAGATCTTTTTATATCTTATCGTTGTTTTTAGAATATAATTAGCACCCCCATATCGAAAGCATTAGGACTCCAGTTTAAGCCAACTGTTATTCCTGGGGACACCGATATCCCAATCGCTATTGGGACACTATTTTATGACTGTAAATAATACAATTTTTTAATTATATTGATAATAAATATTGTGATGGATATGTTCTAGATACTTTTAATTATTTTAATCTGAAAATGAATATTTTAGGGAAGGCTGGTTTAGAATTACAACACTTTAAGGGCAAATTAATGATTAAAGCAATAGGGCCTGGTGGTTCTAGTCAAAAATTAGCCATACCATGGATAGCACAGGTGTTACAAGGAGGACTAGAAGTAAATGCATCAATTACTCATTACTGTTCTCTGCAAACTAGCCAAGCTCAAAATTTTAGCGTTGTAAATAAATTTAAATTACCATTAGCCATCACACATGTTACGATGTCACCTAATGTTAAATCGCGTTTCATGGTACGAAAAAATAATTATTTACTTTTATAAATAAATATTCGTGTATAACTTTTATATAAAAAATTTATTTTTCAGATAAAAAATTTTACTCCTAGAGTAATAAAACCAGAACAAAAAGTTAATATATTTTCTTTACAACTTACCAAAGAAAAGAAAAATGAAGATGTAGAGATGGAGTCATCGATATTAATACATTCAAATGTATCTGTAACTAAAGTACCATTACTCAGTTATGATGGAAAAGTAAGGAAAATTGTTCCAGGAGAAAGAGAAGATGATAAAGGTACCATGAATTTTGGTACCGTTAGTAGTGGAACTGAAAATGAAGCAATCTTTGCGTTAGAAAATCAGAATCCAGTTAATATAGAATTACATGATTGGGGAGTAAATATGCCTGGAGCAGTATTGGAATTAATGGGTTGTCAAAGTGGTCCTGCAGATTTATTGGATGAGGAGCTTAAAAATGTAACTGTATGTAGCAATACTGGCAATGTAAGTATTATAAATATATAAAATTATTTGTGTCTTGTATTAATATGCTTGGAGATATTAAAAATAACATAAATATTACTATTACAGCAATTTATAAAACCTGGATTTTTAGCAATTTTCAAGATTATAGTAAAAGCTCCTATGATAGAAGAGGATACGATAGTTGGCGATGTCTTTGTTAGAACTAAGTATGAAAGACTTATTTTACCTGTATTCATGCGAGTTGCTCATGGAAAAATCTCTGTAAAGAAACTTATATTTACAGATTGTTTTCCTGTAAGTAAAGATTATAAATTATTTTTAATTAATGTAATACTTTAATATCTATTTATAACATTTTTGTTTCTAGGGATCAATATGTGTACAGCAAGTTAAAGTACATTCTACGTTTACAAGACCAATGGAAGTAACTGAAATAGTTTCAGTTAACAAGGATGATAGAATAAAATATATACCTTTAGAAGAAGCAACATTACCAACAATATCTAAAGGTGATAATCATATAGGATCTATAAAGATTAATCCATCTATCAACTGTAAACAACGATGTTACCTTGACTTGCTATTAGATACAAATGGTATCTCAATTATTTTTCTTAAATAATTTTTATATACATATATTTTTGAGAATACATATGTTATATTAATGTTTATAATTTCCAGCTGGTAATCAATGGTTGAACACAATGAGCCTTCCTTCTCACACGCGTGATACTGATCTAAATTTATTAACTACACGTTACATGCGTTTTATTAATTCTACTGGAGCAGGTTCTTGGGATAATGTAACAATGCGTTTAGACACTAATGAAGTACGTGGTTATAAATTTTATGTTAATATTAAACCACATTGGCCCAGTTTATTGACCAGTTCTGGAAATGCAAATAAAAATAAAAGTATATTAATGTTTCCCTTAACACAAGTGGGACATATATCGCATAAAAAAATAAAATTATATAATCCAAGTAGAAATCCTTTAATAGTCCAATTAGTAATGGATTGGAATTATCCTCAAGGATCAAGACTATTTCATTCTTTACCTAGCAAGTATGTAATATTTAAAAAATCTACTTTAATTTTGATATATTGATATATAAAAATAAATTCTTTGTGATGATATTATTTAAATAGGTTCAAACCAATGTGTATAGAATGTTTACCTATGGTACAAGAGGAATTTAAACTCGAAGATAATTTGGAGGAACGTGAATTGTTTGAAAAACAATGGGATGTTACAGTGGCTACGCAATCATTTCCTTTTTATTTAAATCCTTTGGAATCTAAAACTATTAAAATAATATATTCACCGACGTCGGCATCACTTTCGTCTGCTCTTATATATATTAGGTAAGCCAGTATACATATATTAACTAAAAATCATTATATATATACATATATAAATCATTAATATATATTAATAATTTATGATATTAAATATGAACTTAAAATATTTTAGAAATAATATGACCGTCTTAGAAGTTTTACGTGTAATGGGACGTGGAGCAAGTGCACAATTTAGGTTTGGAAATCGTAAACCAGGTTCTACTACACCTTTATTATTTGAACTTGGAGACAAACACCTTAAAGATTGTGAACGTATGTACGTTCCCTTATCTTTATTCTATCGACTTAATATAATGTAGTTAAATTTTTAAATATATATGGATTTATAAATATTATAAAGTTTTTAAATAATCTTTTATAATTTATTTGTACAATCGTTAGTTTAAAATATTTGTATTAACTTATACAATATATGAATACATGTTATTAAACATTTTTTTTTTTTTTATATAGAAAATTTATATAGAAAAATTAATGCATTGTATTGATTTTTATTAGGTGAGCGATCGAAACGAAATTCGATTCCAAATTTAACAGTTAAAAGATCCTTCACAGCGAGAAATACTGGAGAATTACCAATACATATTTACGGTTTCTACATAAGCGGCTCGCATTGTGAAGGATATGGATTTAAGGTACTTAATTGTGCCTCTTTTTTACTGTTTCCAAATGTTACAAAAAAAATTGAAATAGCATTTACGCCAGACTTCACTTTATCACGAATTGAAAGAAAATTATTAATATTGACAAGTTTAGGAACTGAAAATGAGAGTAGTATGATAAAACTTAATTTATTAGCAACACTTCCTACACATTCTTTGGAATCTTGCGCAGCTATATTAATTAGACCATCATGGGAATATATTATACATTGGGCAGCCGTCATTCTTTCATCGATATTGTTAATATCTGTGCTTGCTGTATCCTTTCTTGAGGCAGATCGTATACTAAGAGGTGCTTTAGCAAATTTTTCTCGAGAAAGTTCAGTTCAGCCACCTCTTGACCTTAGGCTTTTGTCATATGTACCAATTCAATCGACAGATATCACAAATTCATTGAAAGAGAAACCTACAAATGATGATAAAAATAAAATAAATAAAAAAGAAGACATAACATCGGAATGGATGTTAATGAATACAAAACGTTGTAAAGATAAAGATTTGCAAAAGAGCCTGAAAATTTCTGATTGGACATCAGAAGAAGAACAACGTTTTAAATTAGATATAGAATCGAAAGATTTGTTATCTTTCAAACCATGCGAAGATCCACTTGACGGTTCTAATAATATTGGAAATATTGGACTTGGCACAAGAAAGAGAAATAATAAAAAACAACAAAACATACAAGAAAGTCAATCTGATAATAATTGTCTAATAGAAAGTACATTTACAGAAATTCAGCCAGTACAAGAAAAAAAATATAGAACGCATTCTTTAATAAAATCTAGTCCTGTTACAAATAGAAAAATGAAATCAAACAATGTAGGAAATATAAAAGAAGAATTAAAGTCATGTGACAATGAAAGTCAGGGAGACACAATTTATTTAAATACCAAAAATAATAAATCTGAAAATAAGAGAAAAATTACCGGAGGAAATAGTACTAGCCATAGTAATCACATGTTAAAGAAGCTTGATATATCGTCACAACAAAAGAGCGTTCAACTTTCTGAAGAAGAAACTTCATCCACAACAACAGAAAGTTCAGTACATGATGATACATCATCTTTATGTAAAGTAAGTTCTTTGTTTAGATTTAATCAGGATATTTACTATATATTATGTCATTGTGTGAATACGTGTTATATTATATTTTATAGGGACATGATCAAAATTGTATAAAAACAGATAAATTACAAAGGAAGCCAGTAAATAAAAAAAACAAATCGCAAACAATACCTTCTGTACCTTGTGTTGATTATAAAGATAATTATGAAGGTGATTGTGACGATGACGAATATGATAAAGAAAGGAATAATAATCCAAATAGATGGAAAACAAATACAACTAGGTCTAATACAAAATATCACATTCATGGATCACGTACAGTAGAATCATCTTATAAATTACCGCGCCAAAGTAAAAATCTTCCGCGTAAAGAAAAAGTATCACAAAAACGCCGTGCAACGGATAAAATTCACACAAAAAGTATATTAATATATAGCTAGTGAACTTACAATACACACACACATATCATATGTTATATTATATATATATATATATGTATGTATATATATATATTTACAGCTTCTTCTCTAAATGGAAATATAAATTCAAAGGAAGATGGAACACGTAATTTAGGAACAGTATCTACAATATCACCACCACCGCCACCGTCAGGATGGGGTGAACATAGAGCAAAATTTAGTGATGTAGTAGCTCGTAATCAAGAAAGCATCCCTGCATTTTCTAACTTATCAAATTTGCATAAGAATCAACCAGTTACACATAATTTATCATTGGTGTTTACTAATGACACTAAAGATACAGAATATATAAAACAACAACCAAATCAAGAATCAATTGAATCTACCAAAGAATATGAAGTAATGCCAGAAGTTTTGACCCCTTGTATGCCATCGACTGGAAGGACAAAATTGGTTTGTCAGGATCATATTACGGCACAAACTAATGTTCCACACGCAAATAGTTATTTTATCAATAACTTTATTGATTCTTCAGTACGTCATATATTCGAAATATCTTATTTAATGACTTATAATAATAATAATAAAAACTTTTATTAAAGTTTTCTCTCTAAATATACTTTTTTCTCTCATTCACAAAAATGTAACAATCTTTGTATTGTCTTATTGCAGTTTGAAAGAGAATTGGTACCATATGACGATCTTCCAGAAACAGATGAACTTTTGGTTGAATTAGAAAGTCCAGAGGAAGATACACGATGTCAGTTATGGAATGATAATAGAACTATGATAGATTTATTATCAGATAATACAAGTGCTTTTCAATTTGACACATCAAATTCTACAGAAAATGGCACAAATTTAACAGATTCATTAAGAGGTATGTATTTATTATAGTATCTTAATAATTTTGTATTTTGTTAAAAATGTATTTTTAAATAATATGTTGTTATTAATTTACTACAGATAATTGGGCGAATGTAGAAACTAATTGGCAACCATTATACACTAGAGCAGCAGTAGGAGAAGAACGAAGTGGCGTATGGGGAGTTAATACTGGTGGTGTATGGGCAGCTGCACCTTGGGGCGCAACAGCACAACCACATGCCACATTATCTGTGCCACTACAATTATCAGAATCAGACGTGCAGGTAGATAATAGGAACAATACCTAGAAAATAAATTAGAAGATATATAAAAAGAAAATAATTAATTTTGTTAATGTGTACACAACAACATTAGATGTATAACAGGATATACATAGTATAGCAAAGTTGTTATTTTAGGACAGAACAGGATTTGATCCATTTCGTTCTCTCAATACAATTTGGACACCATCATCAACAGAGTCTTGGAAAAAAAAGCATGAAGATTAATAATTTTAATGTTACTAATTTATCTTGTGATACTGTTGGCTTGTTTAAAAATTTTTGTGGAAAAGTGAAAGTAATACTATATTAAAAAAAAACAAAAAAAAAAAACAAAAAAAAACAAAAAAACAAAAAAAATGTATTTGCAATTGAGATTCAATACTATTCAAGTTTACAATGATATTCAATTATGTTATATTTAAATTTCAGAAATTTTGTAGACAAAATTATTGTTCTTATAATATCATTAAATTTGTCAGTTTTTAAAATGCATGTTATCAAATTTTGATAAGCTTGTACAATTACATTGTATTGAAAATATACATCAATACTTTGATTTCATATATCAAATGTATTTGTATTTGCTCTTCGTAAATACTGTCATAAAATTAATATACTTTAATTAAAAACAAATAGCATACGCATACAAACACACACATACATATAAATTATAAATTACAGCAGCAAACATAATTATATAATCATTCAAATTTCAATGAATTTGATTCTCAATTGCATTGTTTTTTGTTTTTCTTTTTCCATTGCTCATATTTTTATTGTAAAAATATTCACGGTACTCAATAATATCTGAGAATATTGTAATTCTGGTAATACACAAATGATAATTAAGTTATTAAAAAACGAGTGAGAACTGTGATTTTTATAGTCTTGACTTGTAGAAATTTCTGTAGTAAGTTTTCAAGACATTTTACAAAGTTGTGATGTATACAAAGCAAAATAAAAATATGTACCTACTCTTCAAGACTGGTAATTACTGTTTCAATAAAAATCTCATAATGATTGCACAATTATCAATCTTTTTAAACATACTATGATATGAAGAAGTAGTATTTTACATTTGGACATATTAGATAAAAATAGTGCCATAAAATGTAATACATTTTATACATTTTTAGAGACATATAATTATAGATTTAGTAAATAAAATCTTGATATAAATATAGCAATCTTAGATTCTAATTAATTTGATAATCATATAAAAGTCATTCTATAGCCTGGCGCAGTTGACTTTGGTATCACACATGGTTTTGCTTGTTGTATTCTACGAAGAAGTATCTACAAATATTGTTAATAAAATACATATAAAAAAAATATACTTCATAATAATTTAGGTAATATATCCTGATACTCTGTTATAATATATACCATATTATCTCCCTCTATTTTCTTTTGTAATCTTTTCCTATTTATAGCTGAACTACTCATTTTGGGTAGAATATTTCCTTTAAAAACTTTATCACGAGGTTGGTGTTGTGCCATTATTTTTCTTAATAAAAGTTCATTTTCATGTTCAATTTTCCGTACTTCCTCGTCTGTAAAGCTCATGTTCTTCCTTCTTATTTTTGTTTTTCCAAATTCTATATTTTTTTCATTATTGTGCCATATCCTTCCATTTTTTTCTACGTTTATACTCTCTTTGCTTTCTCTATTGTAAAATATTTCCTTTTCTTTGTCGTTCACATTTTCTAATTTTTCATTTTCTTTATATTTATCATCGTTGACAAAAAGTGAGCAAGAACCACTAATTAAATATTGTGATGTAGTTTCCTCTGATTCATCACAAGAATCATCAGAACAAAAAGATTCATTTGTATATGCAAATTCATCCTCAAGGGTATTTTTTTCTTTATCCTTTTCAGTTTCATGATCTTCAATATCTTGTAAATTTGTTGAATTAATAATATTAGTTTCACAATTATCATCGTCGTCATCATCATCATCATTTTCATCAACTTCATGTATACTTGGTACATTATTAAAATTGTCTTTGGTTTCAGAAATTTGCTTTGATACAATTTCATCGGTGATAGAAAGAGTACATTGACACAGATAATTTGTTTTTACGTCTTGTAAATTAGACATTGTCATAATTAATTCATTCAAACATTTAAAGTGTTAAAAAGAAATTAAGTACAAGTAATAAAATACAAATTGCATAATAGAAAAAAGAAACGCAAAAATCTTTAACAGATCTTTTTTAAATATGTTAAACAATTACCCTGTCTCCATAGAAACTAAATTAGAAACATTATATACAATTTACAATTATAGATAAAAAGTATTTTTGGATTCAATTGAAAATACATGGGTAATTTATGTATTTACAACGTCAATTAAGTTTGTTTATTTTATTGAACATGGAATAATTTGTTATCATTTTTTATATATATTTTTTTGTGTGATATCTCAATCACGATCAAATTATTATTATCATTATTTGTTCTCTTAAGAGAGGACGAAATGCAGTTTTGCAATCATTCTGAAATCCAGAATGAATCTAGTTGCTTTATACTAAGTTCCTTTATATACATGTAAGATACTTATATATAATAAATACATAAATATATGTTTCTTATCGAATTCTTATATAGCTATGATTACATATAAGGGTTAACTCAAAGACGTTATGCGCTGCATTCTATGTGTTATATAGTATGCAATATGGTGGACTATCGTTCTAACCTTTAAATAAAAATCAAACATAATAATAATAGTATAATTTTTGGAAAATTATGGACGTTATTAAATCACCAATGGATAATCTTTTTAATATGCTATCTGGATTTAATGCAAGTCATGAAAAAGCTTTAAAACAGGGTATCTATAATGCAGTGGCACTTTTTTTATTGTGTTTGGTGCTTGCTGCTGGATATGGATTATACATAGTATTAAGTCCATTTTTAAAACCACTTATTTGGGCCTTATTATGTGGTGCTGTACTTTTTCCATTTAAGTATTCTTTAACAACAAGATGGCAATCATGGTTTGATAAGATCGAATCAACAAATAAACCTTTATTTTTAAACCTTGTAATTCTGCCTCTTCATATAATAGATAATATTGCAGAAACTTTAGGTACAGGATTATGGAAATACATAAAATATATAGTAGCTACCATTTCAACGGGATGTATAATTATGGCAGCTTATAGTTATACTCCAAATATATTGTCATGCCTGACATGGAAGATATTTAATATGTTTAGTATCATTTTTGGTTTTTTCATATCAACTTGCAGTATTTATATGGTAACAATATTATTCTTTAAGATTTAATTGTTTATAAGAATCTTTCTAAATATGTAATAACTTGTTACAGATAGCTATTCTATTAATCGGTTACTTATCTACATTATATATTTATTGGTCACCTGAAAATTCTAAACATTTCTGTTATACATCATTTGTATTATGGTTCATGATCAGTTTATATTTTTCCAATATATTGGGTGCTTACCAAATAGTAATATTTATCACTTTGCAAGTTTTGTACTTCATAGGATTTATATATGAAGTATTATTAATTATGGAAGCACAAGAAATGAAGGGTCATCAAATGAAACTTGTTGAAGCCATTTGTCTTGTAATGACAAATAGTACATTTTCAAAATTGCAAAATGGTAAAACAATTGAAAAGAAAAAGATTGAAAATATAGAACAAGTCGAAAATAAAACAACTATTGAAAGTATACCTACGTCTGGAAAAATAGCTATAAAATCAATTTCGTTGGATTCCGATGCAGGTGTGCCTCATCCAAATTTTGTACAAGAGAAAACAAAATCTACATCTAGTATATCTTCTATTAGTCATTCTGCACAAGATCGTAATTTTTTAAAAAAATTAAAAACAGAGTTACGAATGTCTTTAGATATCGAAGATGACAAAGTTGATACCGATAAATATATGTATGGAGCACTTTACGCTTGCATTGGTATGATTTTATGGAAACACAAATGGATAATACAAATACTAATTATTCCTATAGCTTATTATTTTGCTAAACAACTTGGAAGTTATTTTGGCTTATGGAAATTAATATGCAAACAATATAACTATATTATTGGAATTGTTAATGCTTGGTGTAAAGAAAGAAATCAATCGCTTTTACCTGCTAATGTTAGAGGATTGTATAAAGTAGCAATAATAGTAGATGAAAAATTACAAAAAGCTCTGAAAGGTTCGATCGATGCAGTAGCAACTACTGCTGTGATTGTAGGATTAATAGTGTTCACCATTTGCACATCAATATTTATAACAATACAGGTATAATTAGACTATTAATTCATTATGTGATTAATATAACTCGTTTCTGAAAATACATTAACATACTTTATATTATCATAATAGGTCTATGCGGAAGGTATGCATCTCATTCAAGTTACAGCTGAAATTGTAAATTCTTCTTTAATAAATAATCCAGATATAGATTGGGTACCTCAAGAATGGGAAGAATCTGTAAACAGTGTATTAGATAATGCATATACATATGGAAGAGGTGCTATTTCTGATGGGGTAAAATATTTATATGTATATCTATTAGTCAGAAAATATTTTCATTTTTAATGTTTAATTTATGCATCAGATAAAGAAACTGGTTAAAGATGTAGATTCTGCTAAATCAGAACAAATGGAGACAAAAGTTTTAGAATTATGGGATAGATTATACCAGGCATGGATGATGTCTAATGAAAATCCAGATTTAATTGGACCAACTGTAGATGCAGCAGCAGCTTATTCCGTATGGGAAAGTTTTAAAGAAAATTATGGATCAATTCCTTTACGTATGTTTATTAAAATGCTATAATCGGCTTAAAAAAATATATATGTAATTTTTAATTTCTCTAATTTGTTCTTAGATATGTTTGATATGACTGGTATACAAAACTTTGCAAAGGAAAATGTTGGAATTCTTATGTCTTTATTAGATTCTGTTTGGAATATAGTCAAGGGTAATATGTCTGTGATACTTACTGTTTTTACAGAATTATTCTATATTATTCTTATGAGTGGAACAGCGGTATTAAATTTTATACTTAGTATGGTATGTATAATCTTTTTTAAAGAAATTCTTTATATAAAAAAATTATACTCTATATTATGTGTGTGCGTGTACTATTACATATTGTTTCAGATTGTTTTTTTTACCACATTGTTTTATCTTTTAAACTCTAGTGGTAAGACATATAAACCCATTGAATTAACTACATTATTTAGTCCTATTAATTGTGATAGGTAAATATTTTTATAAAGATATATATAATACTTTCTTTTATTAATAAATATACTTTGAAAATTGTAGATTTATTTATACCGTGTTCCATTTTTTCACAGATTTGCTGTTGCTCTGCAAGAAGCTGTGATTGGAGTATTTGCAGCCACGTTCAAACTTGCTACATTTTTTGGCATGTGGACGTGGTTTGTACATAATTTATTTCAAGTTAAAATTGTATATTTACCATCAGCTTTAGCTACAGTATTAGGTGCTGTCCCCTTTTTGGATGCATATATTGCTTGTGTTCCTGCAACTTTAGAACTTTGGTTTACACGAGGACCTATGATAGCTATCCCTTTTTTTATCTTCCATTTTTTACCATGTAATATCGTTGTAACAGAGTTTTACAAAGAAATAAAAGGGTATGACACTTTTATATATTCATCATAAATAATATAATTTTTATAAATTAAGTGATTTAAAGATCTTTAATTTTTATTTACTTTATTTTAGTGGGGGTCATCCATATCTCACTGGCTTATCTATAGCCGGTGGAATATTTTGTCTGGGTGTTGAAGGTGCTATTTTTGGACCCTTACTTCTTTGCTGTATTATGGTGGTAATTAATTTGAGCCGTCGTTATCTTAATTCGCCATCTGTGGAAATGATAAAAACTTCCCAAATGTCAAATTAATTATTAATTGAATTAAAATATTGCTTCCATTAGAACTTGATAAGTTAAAATTGTTATAAATGCAATATTTTTTTCAAAAAAATTATGCAAGGAATTTAAAGAATTCAGCCTTTTCGAAATTATGCAGTATGTATTTGATATAAAATATATGCATTTTCGACTCTATTTAAATATATTTACAAATATTTAATAAATAAGAAAATAAAAGGTTTAATTGCTAAGAAAATGATTTCATTATACAACGAAGAGATCATTTCAGAATAAATGTTTTAAACATTGCTACTAACTACACTGCATATAAAATATTGTATAATATCTTATAAGCAATTTGATATTTACTTATGTCTGTAAAATATCTCTGTAAAGCTTACGCTTATTAGAATTAGGAAGATTTTATTGTCATAAGTTGATACTAAAAGAGATTATACATTTGTTAACGTTCCTATACTAATACATAATAACGAAACTGTGACAATTGTCTTTAAGATCTGATAAAATTATATTATAATATATTAAATCGTAATTAAAATTTAAGATTTAAAAATATTAAAACTCGTACAAAAATGATCGTGTTTATAATTAATTTTATTACAATTTCTATTCTTTAAATATTAAAAAATTTTTTTAATCAATATATATATACCTTGAGAAAGATATACAAACAGAAAGTGCATTATATAATTGAAGTATAGTAAATATTCATATGTTTTCTTAAACATAATTTGTCTTATTTGTCAACTTCAAGTAATATAGTACTATATTTAAATTATAGTTTTATATATATATATATATAAATATATATATATATAAATATATATATATATACATGTAATATAATTCAATTTATCAATCATTATTTTATATAGAAAATTTAATAATTATTTGATATGTCTAATGGGATAATTATTATATTTTTTATCATTTTAATAATATTTATATTTCTAATTGGATATGAAATATACTTGCATTATGATACTTATTTTCCTTCATAAAAATATTCATATATATTTACAGTTCTGTTTGAATTGTAAATGTCAGAAAGAGTTGTAACTTGTATATTTTTTCGTAATATGTTTGGCGTAGTTGCTTCGTATGCATGAAACTTTATATATTTTGTTTGCTCGAACATGTGAAACCCATTTTCTGAAAAACGTCCACTTATGGATTTTACTTCTAACCAAACAAAAAGTGCTATATTATTAGTGGTTAGTTCAATTTCATAATCTGGATAATTTGACAATTTTCCTGGTAGATAATTTGTATTAATTTTTATCTAAAATATAACATTTCATATATTATACTTATTATATTATTGATCTTTTATTACCATTATTATTAACATTACTATTTATATTTATTCATTATTTTGATAAATTTACTTACTTTGACATTTGCTAATGGGATATTTACATCTTTTAATACAGTTGGGTATACATAATTAACGGGAGCTATTTGTAATCCATTATAATCTTCAAGCGTAAGACGCATAATACAGAATTTCTTTGCTTCTACCAATGTTCCACATTTAATTTTTTCAAGGAATTTATCAAGCCATATCGATGTAATTCGCATTGCTTTATTTGGCTCCTGTTAACACATCTATAAAGATTCTCTGTGCATTATATAGAAGAATGATTAATACTTACAACTTTAATATTATCTATAGAATGTACATGTAGAGGTACCATCGAATTCCAATTATAGATATTCAATTTTAAAGTACAATTACTTATTGGATATAATTTATCAGAAACAATATATATTGATAGCTCGTTTGCTTGAGATAAATGAGAAGTTACAATAATAGGTGAGAAAAATTCTATTGCATAATAATGAAGTATTTTCCATCTTCCTCCATATTCTAAAAAAAAAAAAGAAAAAAGAAAAAAAGATATTTAGTTTATAAATAATTATTAAAATATAAACGAATGTTAGGTACAGAAAGGAAATAAAATAAAGAGAAACTCTAAAAGAGAAGATTAAAATTAATTGGGAATTATTCATTACCAATAGAGGACCATGATGGAGCTTGCCAAACATCATTTAATTGCCAATAAAGAGCTCCCATTGTAAATCCTTCTCCTAATGCATTCAACTCTGATCTTGCTTGGCGATATGATTCTGTTTGTATTTTTACTGAGACAGCTTGATTTATTTGACTTAAATATATAAAATCCATAAAATCTCGAATTGTATTATTTGATTTTGGTATTATAAAATTTGTAGAAATAAGGAATTCCATGAATTCAGTACCAAAAAATAGATGTTGACGGTGTTTCAAAAAGTTACTGCCTGTCCGTAAGTCATCAAAATTTGCTATAGCTGTTAACATTGTATAAATTGATGGCATCGACTGAAATCCATATTCTGAGACAAATCTTGAACGTGGATATTGATTTATATCCCATCCATTTCTCATATAATTATAATAATGAACTGTAATTAAAGATGTTATCCCTATTTGTATATAATTATTATAATATATTTTATAATATAGAATATATAATATCTCTTACCATCTCCATATAAATTTGAATAAGGATTTTGTCCAACATAATTGTATTCTTTTGTATATAAACCATTACTAGGACTGGATACAACAAAAGGTCTAGTAGGATCTAATTTTTCTACCTCCTTTTTAATCAAATTCACATAAAGTTTAATGTAATCATTTTTATATATATCCTCTTTACCAGTTCCATACCAATTACTATATAAAGCTGCTTCATTTTCATTATTGCCTGCCCATAAAACTATACTTGCATGATTTTTTAATCGTCGTACATTTTGTATAACTTCCTCTTTAACGGAACTTAAAAATTCTTCACTTGTAGGGTACATTGAGCAAGCAAACATAAAATCTTGCCAAATCATAATTCCGAATTCATCGGCTAAATTATAAAATAAATCAGATTCATACATTCCACCACCCCAAACTCTAAGCATATTCATGTGTGCTTCCTTAGCCGATTGCAATAGGTTTCTAATAACATCTTTTTTAGCTGTTAATTCAGGAAATATACTTGCAGGAATAAAATTACTTCCCTTTGCAAATATTGGTATACCATTTACACGAAAATAAAAACTCAATCCTTTCTCTAATGGTTCTTCAACTAATTCTATAGTTCTGAAACCTATGCGCATATATTTATTTACTGTTTTAGTTCCTGTTGTAATAGCAACTTTTAATGTGTACAAATTTTGTTTACCAAAACCATTTGGCCACCATCTATCAATTAATTTCTATTAAATAATTCAATATAATTAAAAAATAATAAATAATTATAATAAAATAATTTTAATTCTCATGAGGACAGTCACTTACCGAATCCACATTTAATATAGTTGATACGGTAGCATATCTATTCTTTACTTGTAATATTATATCAGATGAATTTTGAGCATATATAGAATTTATAGTATATAATTTTGAAGCTATATTACATATAATAATGTCACTTTCTTTATGAGGAGAAATTTCAAAGAATATTGTTATAAAAATTTCCCAAAGATTATCTTTTTCGTATATGTCTGTTGTAATGTCTATAATTAGAATTTCAGTTGTAGAAATTAATTCAACACTTTTCCTATAACATTAGTTATTAGTTTTTCCTTGATCAAATATTATTATATGTAAAAAAAAAAAATATTAGTTCATACCAAATTCCCATAGAAGGAATGGCTGGACCCCAATCCCATGAGAAACTAGCTTGCATTTTTCGAATGTGATTAACATGACACTCTCCATTATATTCTTTGGGAACACATTTTGGGGGAACAATATATTGTAGACTTTGATTTTTATATAAATCATTTGCCATTTTTATAGGTGAATGAAATACAATTTTTAAAATATTCTCCCCTATCTGTAAGTTTTTTGTTCCTTTTTTGTAAATGTATGTTGTTTTATAAAAACATAATGAGAAAATTGTGATATACCTTTATATATTGTTCTATATAAAATATATACTTTAAAAACATATTAGAAGTTTCTCCTACTTTATGATCATTCAAAAAAATAGTAGCAAAAGTATCGAGTCCATGAAATATCAAGGCTATTGTTGAACCATTTACAAAAGTATTTGTCCCTAAAAATGAGTTAATTAACTTAGGAGTTACATGTTTATATTTTTTAGAATATCCTTAATTACCAGTAAAATTTTTGCTGTATACAACCGTTTGGTTTCCAACCCATCGATTTTTTATATCGTTCATTGCTAGAAAGTTATTAGGTATCAAACGTGCAGTAGTTAAATCTGTATAGATACCGCCTGGCACAATTGCAGGAAAATCTAGCTCTATATAGACAATGTATCATTAATAAATAATGAATAAATAAATGTGTAAAAAAAAGAGATATTAAAAAGAAATAATATATTACCTTGACATTTTTTGTTAGAAGATTTATCTAAAAGAAAGAAATTAAGATAAGTATAAAAAATATCATGCATATAAATAAATTGTTAGATCTTACCGCATAAAATAGTTCCTTTCCATGCACCATTTAAGGTTATGAATTCCACAGCCACATTATTTACACATATAATTAATATAAATATTATCAATTCCTTCATACTTTATGTAAACTTTAATAACCATGAAATATAAAATTAATATTGTATGTATATTTAATTGAAAATATTTATAAAATTATAGAAATTAAGTAATACTATTATAAAATATATAGTATGAACATTTTCATTCTAGAATATTATTTTTTTATTTCTTTAATATTGTTACAGAAAAAAAAAAGAAACAATAAATAATTTCATATAGACTTTATATTGCATATTTGATACATATTACACCAGGTGATTTAATTTTATCAAAGTATATCAACCTTATCAAGCATAATCAACCTTTGATATTTAAATAATAGCTATGATAAATAATGATTTATCTCAATGCAAAATGATATTTTTATCTAAATTGATTAGCAAGCGATTATTTATTAAATGAAAGATAAACATGGGAGTATTATACAATACAAAGTATTATGTTTAATCTATAAAAAGATAAGGTATAGATGATAATTTTAGAATTATCTTTGATCATATACTTAAGTTTTACAAAATTTTTATTAGTATAAAAATATTTATATATACTTAATAGTCTAATAATATCAATGCTAACTATATTAATAATAAAAAGAAATATATCCATAAATTGAATGATTTATTATATTATTTTTTAACTAATTAGCATTGATAAAACTAGATACTTTTGTGTGATATCTATTACTATTTTAATGTAATATTTTTTAATAATTTTAGTACAGATGTATATATATACACACATGCGCGCGCGCGCGCGTGTATATATCTGTACTGTACATATATATGTATATTATATATTTAACATTCTATAAAAAAACTTTGGTGCGAAGACTACTCATATTTTAGTTTGCTGATTATTCTAATTTATTGTATATATACTTAATAATCTACGTATTTTTCACTCATTTTACAATACATTAAATTAAATGTTAAAATTTGACTTTCATATAATTTTCCAAATTTATAAATGTTTTTCAAGAAAAATATCGGAAATTTTTTTAATTAATAATTAAATTACAATATAAAAAAAAAATGAAAAGATAAATATATTTTTGAAAATATAAACTTAACGTTTAATTTATTACAAATGGAATGTTTATATTAAATGCAGAAGAGAAATATCTTCTCTAGCATTATATTGTTAAGTGAACTGTAATAAAAATAGGAGGTAACATAAATCATTTTTTTTTTGTTTTTTTTTTGTTTTTTTTTTTTTTAGTTAAATACAAATATACTATACATGTTAACATTTCCAAAAATACCGATAAATATTAAACAAGTACTTGTTTAATTAATATTAGAATATCAAACAAAAAATATAAAATTTTTAATAAGACAAACTTTATCAACGTTTTCTCTTCCTACCTACTTGTGCTTTCCTTACTGAAATTAATTGTCCATTGTAATCTATGTTAGAAGTTCTTTGTTCACTAATGGATTGATAAGAACGTACAGGAGAATCAGGTACATTGATCATCATAGAAGTACCTAAATATGTACATAAAATATATTATCATCATATTAATTTATATAATAATTATCTATAATAATAAATAAACAATATACCTCGAGATGGAGAATTCTGTTTATCTTGTAAACATTTATTAACATGATCTTCATAATCTATGCCATTTTCTGTTTTAAATGTAGAACAAATATTACATTCAAATGTCGTTTTTGAATTCTTAGTTTTTTCTTTGACTACATATCTACTGTTTTGAGGAGAATAAGTAATGTCTTGTTCAGGTTCATTATCCTCTTCAAATTGATCACACGTAGCTGCATGATTTTCTATCTTATCGCTTGGGAAAGATTTATTACAGATAGGACAAGTTACTTTTTTTTCTAAATAATAAACATCCTTTGCCATTTCTTTAATTATATCCTCATTGCCATTGTCCTATAAAATATAAAATAAGAAAGATTAAAATATGAAATGAATAAATATCCTGTACATACATACTTATTATATAATTACAATAACAATTGACCTGAAGTACAGCTTCTTTATTTTGCTTTTCTATTTGCTTTCTTTCTTGATCCTTCCACTTTTGTGTTCGACTTGTGTTTCTAGATTGTAATACTTCTACCAGCCTATCCTTTCTCTTATCTTTACTTTGAGCTTTTTCTTTATTTATAAATGTTTCCTCCATCTCCTGCATTCTTCTTTTCATAAAATCTTGCTTTCTTTTCTCTTTTTCTTCATCCTCTTTTCTTTGAGCTTCCTTTTGATCTGAAAGTATTTTTCTTTTTCTTTCAGCATCAACTTGTTTTAAATGCACACATTGTTTTGCTAGTCGTGCTGAAAAACTCTTCAAAGATAATGGTTTAATAACAACATCTTCATTTAATAGCATTTCATTATCTTTGTCAATAATTCTTTCCAATTCTACAACTGCTTCTTTAGTTGTCAGTTTGTAATCTAGACTTTCTTTATTTGATGTATTAGGACTTCTTTCTACATCATTTTTATTTGTATCTTTATGATTTTTTAAAGACGAATAAGTACTTAATGTCTTATTTTTATCAAACACATTTGATTTTAAAAGTGTCTCTATTTTTGTATTGGATAACATTTCAGAAGATCTTTCTTTAGGCCCTTGCAAAGATTTTATATTTATACTTTTTCTAGTAGTATCGTTGTCATTAATAACATTAAAATTATTATTTGATAATAAATCTTCTTTATCAGATTGTTGCTTTAAACAATCTGTTTCTTGAGTTATTGGTTCCTTGTTATATAATATTTTGTGTACTTTATTTGTATCTTCAATTTTTGTTTTTTTAAGAAGGCTAAGACTCATTTCATCATTATCATCACTGCTAGAACTTGATACTGCTGTATTAATAAACCAAGCAGCTTTCCTTTTGTTAGCTCTGTCGTAATTACTGCTTATATTTTCTAATTCATTGAAATTAGTAGCAACCATGAGAGGTTTTCTGTCCAAACTGTTGTTATCAGTATCCACCTATATAAATGTTGAAAAAGAAGGATTAGAACTGAAATAAGTAAAGTGAAAAAGAGAGTAGTCTATTCTTTTGTATAGAAATATAATTTATTGAAAAATTTCATTATAGTTTACACTTTTAATGACTGTCACCTGTAAATGTTTATGGGTACATATATCCTATGGTAATACAGGTTAACAATTATTTGCAGAAATATTATCAATTATTCAAATTTACTTTTATAAAAACTTATAGTAGTTACTTACACAATCATTTAACCAATATATATATAAAGAGTTTAATATCAAAACAAATATTCATTATTTGAATATTTTTTAGTACATTATTAAAAATGCACACTTTTATGAATATTTTAATTTATTGAAGAAATTTATATATTTTTTTATTTATTATTATTTTTTTTTTTTTCACAAAGACATTGTGTAAGTTATGATTAGCCATTGGATGAATTTCTTCATCAGAATTGTTTTTCTTTTATGTATATCTATATATATTAATAATGCAAATCATAATAAAACAGTTAAATAAAAATTTATTATTTATTGTTATTTGACAAAAATAATTTTTTTTTTTTTTTAAAGTAATAGTACCCAATAAATAATTTTTATTTTCTTTTAAGAAACAAATTAACAAAACAAATTACTTTTATAAAGTAAAAAATCAAAAACAAACAGAAGATATTTTTATCATAAATTTGCAGTTTCATTTACATAATATATAAATTTTTTTTTGTAATAATACTCAGTAGATATATGAAACTATACAAGAGTTATATAGTATTTTTATAGAAAAAAGACTCACAATAAAAAATTGTTATTACTTCTGTGAGTCAACGATATGAACGAGACATGGAGGTACACACCTGAATGGGTGTCCCCCATCGAAACTTCAATTGGGTTGAACCATGGCAACTGAACCATAGATCTGCCATTTCTTTCAAATGAATACTCAATTCATTCATTATTTTATTGCCCTTTTCAGTTGTATTCGCATCTTTACAAAATCTGAAAGGTATGCGTTCTTGAGCTGGAGGTCGCCTTGGCTGTTGTAAAGGCACATCGTTTTGATCAGAGCGAGAATCTAATGGATTAATTCGCCATCTGATCAATTTTTTTTTATGTTCTAATGGAGCACCTAATTTATTTTCTATACGTGAATTAGAACATTCCTGCATAGAATTTTTAGATTTTTGATGAGATAGGTATTTATCTGAACCATCATCACTGACATCATCATCCGAACTCCTTCTTCTAGACATAATGTTTTTCTTATCACGAACATTAGGTGATTCTGAGCTACTATTATGATAAGTGCTGTACGAGCAACTTGGTTTTGGTCGGTCATTATCTGTTTCTAGTATTGACTTTGCTTTAGTCGCTACATCTGGTACAGAATTATTAGTAGAATATGGCAAATCCTAAAAAGTTATTAATAAATCGTATTACGTTAGTTAATAGATTACTATTGAATTTTTCTATTAACTTACCTTTTGATTTCTTGCATTATTTTCTGGTCTGTTGGCCATTTCTTTAGATTCACGTATTACATTGATAATTTGCTTCATGTATCTTAAATTATAGTTTGGCCTATCTATTCCCATTTCTGGATAAAAAAAAATAAATACTCATATTAAAACATATGAAAATCTTATTAATATGTAAATAATAATGTATGGATGCATGTTTATTTTGCATTGTTGATAAATGTCACATTAAATATAATAATTTGTTAAAGTTATGCCAAATATTACTTTCAAGTTCTTTCTTCATCTTTTCACTTTCTTCTTTCTCCGACGCAGTCAAATTTTCCATATTACTTGACATTTTTTTTTAAAACTTATCGTATCTAAAGCAAACATTCATTCGTAAACAAAGTTCTTTTTTTTTTCTTTCTTTTTTTTCTTTATTGCCGAATTATTGCAAATCTCATTTCATATTTTAAATATATCAAATGATTTAATGAAGACTTTGATTATAATAGATCGAATAGAGGAAAAAATATACATAAATTATGAGGAAACAGGAAAACTTAAAAGTGCATTTGTGAAAAACAAAGTAATCTGTTATATAGCTACACATACAATTTCACAAATCTAACAAATACGTTTAACAGAATCTAGGACTGTATTTATGTGAATATCGTACACAATGAAACTATTTGATTGGCTACTTGCCCGTTTTTTATTGGCTTGTATGTAACCAATCATATATCAATATTATAGATCTGTCACTGTGTAAATGTCGCTAATTGCGATAATGTATGTCGTTTGTGATTTCTGATAGTAAATCTTTATATAACCTCTATCAATTTTTTTTTGCTATAATAATATTAATATTTTTTACAATTTCATAACATTAATCAGAAACTTAATTTTTTTACGAATATTTTATGATTTTCATTCTTTTTTATTTTTTCTAATTTCAACTACGAAATCATTTCAATGAAGTATAAATAATGTTTGTATATAAATGCAACTGTTTTAATCGAAGATGAACACCACAAAAATGTTCACTACTTTAATTAAAACGTGTTCAAAATACAGGTGCTTATTTATTTAATAAAAATTAATTTTTGATAAAATATTTATTTCAATTATTTTTATAATCGTATATTCATTTTCAGTGCATTGAAACTTTGTAATAATATTGTAAGACAAAAACAATTTCTAAAATATAATATAAGAAATTTAGCTGTCATATATATTCAATATGATTGTTTACATACAAATTCTATACATTTAAACAAAAGGAAATCTAAGGTAAAATTTCATTGATCTTTTTTCCTTTTATTGTTAAGTAATAATAAGACATTATGAATATATTTTTATTTAGATAGAAGAAAAAATTGTAAAACAAACTAAAAAGAAACTCCCAATAATAAAATTGTGGAAGAATATGCAAGTTGATGAACTGGCAAATATTGTACAAAGAGATATAAATGATATTTTAACAGCTGCATCCATTATAGATAATAATAAGACATATTCTGCAAAAACAAAATTTGACGATGTAAAAATATTATGTAATATAGTACAGAAGTTAGGCTTTCGTTATGATATTATTTCAATATCAGACAAGGTAGAAAAGGTCCAGGAAAATCATGACGTAATTAAACGGTAAAAAAAAAAAAAAAAAAGAATTAATCTAAACATATATACATATTATTTATTTTATATATATCTGTTAGACCACCACCGGATGAATCTGTATTAATAAAACGACGTCCAGTTGTAACTATCATGGGACATATAGATCATGGAAAAACAACTTTGTTAGATGCATTACGGAACACGTCAGTTGTAGATACAGAATTTGGTGGAATTACTCAACACATCGGTGCTTTTAATGGTATGTAATAAAAATGTCCTTTATCTCGAACTGAAGTTAAAATAATTTTTTAGTGGAATTAAGTACTGGTGAAAAAATAACATTTTTGGATACTCCTGGTCATGCTGCTTTTACTTCTATGAGAGAAAGAGGAGCACAAATAACTGATATTGTAGTATTGGTAGTAGCAGCCGATGATGGAGTAATGGAACAAACTATACAGAGTATAAATATGGCAAAATCAGCAAATGTACCGATTATTGTAGCTATTAATAAAATTGATAAACGTAATGCTGACATTGTAAGTAAATTATAATCTTATTAAGCAAAATTTAATTATGATTAAATAAAGTATAATCCTTTTAGAAAAGGACACAAGAGATGTTACAGCAACAAGGTATAGATGTTGAACAACTTGGTGGCGAGGTTCAGTGTGTAAATATATCCGCTTTAAAAGGAACCAATTTGAATGAATTGATAGAAGCAATAACGCTACAGGCAGAAATAATAGGATTGAAAGGTGATCCCACAGGATTAATAGAGGGTGTAGTTATCGAATGTAAAACTGATAAAACTCGTGGAATATTGTCAACGGCTCTTATTCAACGTGGAACCTTGAAAAGGAGTGCTATACTCGGTAAGATAATATATCACGTTATATATGTATAATTATTAGAGGAAAAAGATGAACAATATATTAAATTTACATTTCAGTTAGTGGTACATCATGGGCAAAGGTAAGATCTATGTTTGATCATGCAGGAAAGCCTGTTATACAAGCTAGTTTATCAGATGCAGTACAAATTATGGGATGGAGAGAATTGCCTAATGTAGGCGATGAGATACTAGAGATAAACAGCGAACAAGAAGCTCATAATATTATTAGGTATAGAGAGAAACAAATAAATAGTATTAAAGCTAAAGAACATAAAGATGCTGCAGATAAAAGATTGGAGCAACATCTACTTGTAAGATTGCTTATATAATAATATTATATTGGAAATAATATTTTCTTATATGCGTTTTGCATTTTTGAATTATCGTATATTAATTAATAGGAATATAAAGAAAAATTAGCAAAAAGAAGAAAGCTGGGAATAAGACGTATTTATGAACCTAAGAAAAAAGAAAGTGTACAAGATCTTACTCCTGCATTCAATCTCATAATAAAAACAGATGTTGCAGGTTCTGTAGAAGCTATCTTAGATGTTATTGGTACCTATACTGCAGATGAAATATGTCGTTTGAATATTGTACATTATGGTGTTGGTCCTATTACGGAGTCAGATGTTGAATTAGCAACTACTTTTGGTGGTATGTATATATATATATATATATATATATCACAAATCACATTGGAAATTGTCATGAATCATAATTGTATTAAAATGATATTATTTTTCAGCTGTTATTTATCAATTCAATGTAAACATACCAAAAGAAATAGAAAAGATAGCTAAAATAAAGAATATTGTCATAAAATCTTGTAATGTTATATACAAATTAATAGATGATATCAAGAATGAAATTAATATGAAACTTCCATTCAAAGATTGTGAAGAAATAATTGGTAAGATTATTAAAATAATCATTTCTTTTTTTTATAGACTACATTATGAAATATTATAAACATTAAAGGTGAGGCGAAAGTTTTAAAACAGTTTGATGTAACAATAGAGAAGAAATCTGTCAGTGTCGCTGGTTGTCAATGCGTTGTAGGTACTTTGAAGAAGAATGAAATGTATCATTTGATAAGAAATGAAAATGTTATTTATACAGGTAAGTTGAAAAAATGTATGTATGATAACTTTTATTAAAAAAAATTGAAATAAAGATTACAGTGGTTATTTAATTTTTGTAACAGGAAAATTACTATCGCTACGACATTTAAAGAATGAAGTAGACTCGATTAAGAATGGTGTAGAATGTGGTCTTAGATTGGACAACAATTCACTAATGTTTCAACCAGGAGATAAATTAATCTGTTTTAAACGGTACAAGGAAAGGCAATCAATCGAATGGAATGCTGGATTCTAAGGATATTCTAATGATCGCTCAATTATGTTGAAAAATTGGCAACAATAAATAAACATTAAAAATTATAAATTAAATAATAAAGATATATACTTACGATTCCTAA